CCATCAAGTGTGGCGGACGTAAGGACATCTACTGCGCTACTCGTAAATCTGGATGGGTAAGTTGTACATGTAAGGCGAATTCCTGAAGCTCCTCATCACCCCCTTTATGGCCTAAGGCTTTCACTCAACAGAGTTCTTCTCTCACCAAATTATTCTCAATAAATACATATACCAGTGTGGCGTAGCCCAACATTGGGGTGTGGTGAACCACGATAAATCTGGTTCTTTGTGTCTTCGTGTTCTTGAGTTGCAGATTCCACGGCTTCGGATTTTGGATTAGATTCCAGACATCCGGTTTTGTGCAATCAAGGCAAGAACGTCATACACAAGCCTTCACAAGGTTGCCGATTGTGTAATACACTATCATTATTGATTGTGATCTTCTTAAAATTAACTTTTAAGTGATTAAATAGAATTGATATCTGAATGGATCTTCTTTAAGACCCATTTCGTTTATGATTTTTTTAACATGGAGTAGTCCAAGATACATACATGTCCCTTAGTCATACTAAGATGAAGTAATTAAATCATTACGAGACCTCTTTGTAACTTAGGTTATGAATATAGATAACACTAAATTAACAAATGATTAATTAAGATACTCTCTTCAATGAAATATTAGTTTATACCATCAACTACAAATCAAATACTAAATAAGTAATGTAGACATGGAGTCGACTTCACAAATGTAATAGAATGAAAAACTCCTATATACCTACTCACTCGTGAGATGCGATAAAATTGTTAAGAAGTCATTTCACAATAGAGTACATATCTCATCTTGGAGTTTCTATACAATTTGTTTGGCTTTGGACGCAATCTATACAATTGCTAAGACCTAGACATAAGTAATATGATCTCAATAAAAGATAATCTTTCTAAATCTGTTCAAATAGATGAGCTTCATATTACATTAGCTAATTGATGTAATTCTGTCCCACGTGGTCAATATAATGTTATGGTACGGAGCTTCTGCAGAAGTAATGATAGCCCCTGTGGTAAAAAAATCGATTTAAACCCTGTGTCTAAGTTCGTAATTCAGGATTAAAAAGACCACACTTTGTGGTCTCTATCAATATCTATGATTGTATTAGGATAGTCTAAATCCATAACATAGATTAAATTAATGCTATAACTGTCACCCTTGGCCATGTGTAGCCATTCGTGGCTGGCCAGAAGAGTTTATCGAGATTAGCGCAGAACGTGAAGCATATAGTAATACTATTTAATTTTTTAAAAAAAAAAAAATCATCCAATAATTTAGAATAAAGAATTTATCAAGACAAAGAAATTCAATTTAACATTAAGAAATTAGAAAACAATGATCAGCCCCGAGTGACATATCTTGTACGAGTGCATCGAAGGATTTGAGACGGTCGCTTCTATGATTAACTAGAGTATGAGTGACGTCAAGAGGGGTATCTGGAGTGAAAAGTAAGTTAATTTACTTACGTGCAATGGGAGATGACGTCAGCAAGTTATCAATTGGGAATGATACCAACCTCATCAGTCTACCGGTCTACACTTAATCATCTTAAATGATTTTACACGACACATATTGGGGTGAGATAACGTACGGGAGAGAAGAAAGAGAAGAAGAAGATAATAAATAAGAGTAAAACTTAAAATAAGATGAAGTAAGAAGCAGATAATTAAGGAAAGATAGTTAAGATTAATCAAGGAAGCAATGAAATTTCGCTTTTGGGCCTAAAAGTAGTTCGGATTTTTTCGGGTCCATTGGGCCCAAAACGGTTGGGTTTTTAACATAAGAATAAGGTGACTTAAAATGATAAAATCTCAACCCAAATATATCACTTGAGGGGCGGCTATAGGGAGTGGAGTTGAAGGAAAAAAATCAATTTGACTGACTCACTTCTCTTTCCTTTTTAAAAGGGGTGTTAAGGAAAAGTTACTAGGGTTTTGAGTGTGGCAACTTCACAACAAAAAATAAAGAAAAAACTCTCTCTTTGGTTTATAGTGTTGATTTTATGTTTCTGTTGCTTATATATATAAATTTTGAATTGTATATACATGTTAGTTATTAGAAATCCCACCTATATATCTAGTTTTCCCTTCACTCCCTAGCATCTCCCTTTATAAAAATTGCAACCCAAAAAGTTAGTGTAGTAAAAAGCGGCCAAAAGTTTGAAATTCCCAACTTGAATTTAATTCCCATGGATATATTAGTCGAGTGTATTCTAGCATCATCAAATTGTATAAAAACATATGAACAAAATGAGTAGAAGTATTATGAACCGTTTATCTATTTACTACAATTGATTGACTAAACAACCTTAATTTTCATTGATTGTTTTACAGAGATGATCTTAATAGATTAATTTATAATAAATACGATTTCCGATTATAAAATACAAAATTCTTTAAATAAACAATCACGTATTTTGAAGAGGAACTCCGTAACTTAAAAAAACAAGTTTTTTTTTTCATTGGACTAAACTATTGACATTGAGTGATGTATTTGTCCAATAAATCAGGGAAGGGGGAGGTAGCGAGTAGAGTTTACCACTCTCTCCACCTTGAGCTCTATATTTTCGTATAAAATAAAATTCAGAACACGAGCGTTATCGTCTTCTTCGTTCCCAAACTTTGCCCCTTTGGAATTAGGAAAAGTGGAAAGATGCCTCTCAAGATATCCGACGCCACCATCTCCACCTTCGACAGTGCGTTTGAGAAATTCAAAGCAGAAGCTCCAAACAACAAAGCCAATTTCATCCTCTTCCTGGCTGACAAGGACCCTTCTACCTCTCTCAGCTGGTGTCCTGGTTTGTATTTCTTTCTTTCATTTACTTCAAAAACTAAGAATTTATTTTTATGTATATTATTCAAGAAAATTTCAGCAACCCATTACACAATTCTTGTGAAATTGTTCGATTCTGTTGCAAATTCTTTATCTTTGTTTTCGTTTTTTGGTATTTTTTTCTTATCAAATAATAATGTATTGTTTTTACTGTAGTCTCTTTGGTTTAGGAATACTTATCAGAACATTAAATTGAAGAAAGTTTTAAAATTTATTCAAGTTGTGTACTGCCCACCTATTGGGAGTGGGTGCCCCACTTACTCGAGGGCTTAGGGCGTGCTCGATTTAACCTCAATAAGAGGTGATGATGAATCCCCCACCCACTTGACAGTCTTAAATTAATGCTCCATCATACAACTGATCTTTTTAATGACGTGCTTAGTTACAAACTCACGCTTATAAGCTCGGCCGAAATTCAACAAAACTTATTAACAGGCTGAGGAAACTTTAGACATAATTTTGCATCACTAAGAAATCACATTTTGAAGAATTCCAATCCTACCAAGGTGGAAGGATTCTTCATGACTAATTCATCTTCTACCTTCAACTTGGACAAGATTCGGAAGTTCACATCCATTTCTTACCTCAACATACATTGAATGTCGTGAATTATCCAATCCTAGGCACCGAACGAGAACGAGGCTTGAGTGTAGGATGCATTGTAGCATAGGCTGCTCACTTTGTATGACACTAGAAAATCCAAATTCTACAAAATGATTCTCTTGATTCAAAATCTTAAAATTCTTGCTAGAAAGTTTTTAAGTTGAAATTTTCCTTTTTAGATATATTTGGTCTCACCACGGATTCTGAATGTATATTCGAAAAGAAGGAAGTTGCTATCATTCATTGAGGTCTTCTCTGTCAATTTTGGAGTGGCTTGTTTTGTGAGGATGGGCATCTGAGTGAAAATAGGCGCTCCGTACTTGAAAAGCGAAGGAAAAAAAAAAAAAAGTAGAAAGCAAGTTTCTTTCTGTCTCATCATTCTAAATAGTTTATGTACTGAAGGGGGTTCATTGTGAAAATGGATTCCTGGAGCAAGTGAGGGAAAGATGCTATTATCGAGAGGATGTCGTAAATTGTATGATGGGGCACCTTGACATGAAAATGCTCCTGGTGAGAGTTACAAATCTTGAATCAGCAGAACCACAAAAAATGAATCATGGTCCTGATCCTATTGAAACTCAAGGTGGTGATGCATCTAAAGACATTTCAAATCAGAACCATTGATTTGCTATGTCGTTGAGTAAACACAATTTTTACCAGGAGCTCCCGTAAAAGAACTAGTTTCATGCTTCTCCTACTATGACTGCATTGAGGACTACTTGGCCGGAGGATCCTCCAATTTATGGTTAAATTTTTGTTAACGCAAACGGAGTGTGCAATTGTACATGACACTGATGTCCCTTTTCTATGTCAGATTGTGTGAGAGCTGAACCTGTAATCTACAAAAAGCTAGAAGCTACACCAGATGATGTTGCACTTTTGAGAGCATATGTCGGAGATAGGCCAACATGGAGGAATGCACATCACCCATGGAGAGTAGACTCAAGGTTTAAGCTGACCGGAGTTCCAACACTAATCCGCTGGGAAAATGATGCGATCAAGGGTCGGCTCGAAGACCATGAAGCGCATGTTGAAAACAAAATCAATGCGCTTCTTGCTGGAAATTAAGTTTGTATCATTTGAATATCTAAGATGGTTGAATTTCTTGGATGCTTTATGACTTGTTAGACTAATGGCCGTACTTGCGTTAGTAATAAGAAATAATGTCATAACTTACCGGCTAATTGTTTTTGTTTCCTCTCTGAACTTGCTACTTGCTAATGATTGTAGTCTAGCTGAATGTAATTTGAGTTTCAAGTTGTAGTTACCGGCTAGTTACCTTAAAAACGTACCTTTAAATTTAATAAACAGTAATTGTGAAGGACTTGATCGTTTTCACTTTGAATCACGTTGAGTGTTTGGAAGAAATAAGTTCATGGTAGGACTTGGGAGGTATCATGTACACTGCCAATTGGTCGTATATTAGTGTCACCATCGAGCAGTCGACAGGCCAATGACCGGCCGCCCATCTCCACCCGACCGAGCACCTATCACGTATCGGGAAAGTCGATATTCAGGGTTTGGTTGATACCAAGCGGGCCTGAAGCTAACCGTATGAAACTGATGAAAGCATGAACCATTTGAAAATAAGGATTGTATTAGCAATTTATACATAGTTAACTTAAAGCTCAAGCTATGAGCAGAGTAATTTAATTTACACTTATACACGTGTGGATGGACTCTGCTAACACTACTCCGCTTCTCTGTGAGGTCAAAAACCATCAACTCCATTGCAACGTTTATACAAACTCAACACTGCCTTTCCTTCCTTGTTCTTTCACTTGGCAATGCCTGCAACTCACAGAAAATAAAAAACTGCACGGTCAGTGCAAGCGAGGGCGCACACACACAAGTAAAAACTAAACTGGAAAGACAAAAAGAAAGATGACCCATGAGAATATGAACTACTCTCTAATCACACTGTTTTACTCAGCTTCTGAAAAACATTTCAATCCCGTGTTTCCGAATTTCCTACCGAGCCATTTTTCAATGCTAATTTATCTCAAGAACAGAACAGTGTAGCCACCTTTGTAGGGAAAACACTGTGATTAGACAAAACTTGCCAATCATGCCGAGTCTTAGAGTTGCTAAAATTCAGAAAGTCCAAGCACTAAAAACATATCAAAGTGCATATGACGCCACGGAAAATATTGGAAAGATAAGTTTGCACTAAATTACCTCATATGCTCTTAAATTTGAGCCTTTGATAGGGTTCGGGTCAATGTCAAACTAATGTCACCGTAAGGTACTTCTTGTTTTACATCAACAAGACCATAAGTCTTCAAAACCTGAAAGTGACAATGAACAATCACATTAGTAGTTATGTACCCAAAAATGCTCAATTCGTACTTCAACAGGCAGTATAAGTTTTCTTCACCCGAAAAAAAAGGGCACCATACGTTTTGCTTGTTCAAGTAGTATGAAAGGAAACAAATGGCAAACCAATTTAACAAAGAAATCACTCAAGTCCAATACATTTGACTTGATGTCAAACTTGTGGTGCTAAGAGAGATTTTTCTGGCTATTATTTGCGGAATGACATTTGCAGGAACTAATATCAGATATAAAATTTCATGTAACGAAAAACTCGACGGTGAAATTAACAAAGAAAAACAAATCTTTTTTAGGTCGAAGAAAAACAAATTTTGGATAATTAAACCATTTTCCAAGAACTAGGTTATCATGAACATCAATTATCCCTAGCTGTGCATTGAAAACTATACAAACATTTTGCTCCCTTGGAAAGAGACTCTAAGAAAAGACTTGGACTACTTGGATCTAACAGAAGACATGGCACGAAACCATGTGCAATGACGTTCTAGGATTCATATAGCCGACCCCACTTAGTTGTTGTTCCTACTTCATCTAAGATGAATACAAATAAGAGCGAAAGAACTTCCTAGCTCCGCGTGACTAGCTGATTAGGCTTCCTCTAGAAACAAGTAAACCCGCTCTATGATTACCCAAGAATCCTGTTTTCTTACATATCTATGATGTATATATGAGATCCATGCTATATCAAATACTTGGCGAACTTCAAAATTTACCATCAATAAAAGAACTCACATCCAAATTCCAAAACAAGACAACCAAACAGAAATGGGTCAAAAGAATTACCAGTGTTTCATAGAACATTCGAGCACATAGCTTTCTAGTTTTTCCTTCTAAAATTTTGTCCAAGCTGAGATCTCCAGTTACGTCTTCTGAGGTTGAGGTGATAGAAGATTCCCTCTTTAAAAATTGAGCCACAGCTCTGCAACCAAACGGGGAGAATAGTAAGAAAAATAGAGATAAAGAGCCACCAAGTACAGAAATACCAACTAAACCCTTTGTAAATAAAGAAAGAAACCATTGAAAGAGAAGTACCTGGTTCTAACAGACAGTGAATCAACTCCTTGTGTCCCTTGAGATCCCGGTACTCCTTGTGTTGCTTGAGATCCTGGAACAAGCATAGATATGTCATCAAAACAGTGTATACAAAAGTAAATGAATATGAAGAATGTTTACTCAAATCACAGATCAAATAAGATTTCTGAGTTTACCAGCTGGTGTATTGCCATCTGCTTCCAGAAAAAAAAGACCCTACAATGAACAATTCAAGGGTTAGGAGTTAGAATTATTATAAAAACAAGAATACGATTACATACTTGAGACTCCAAATAAAAGGCTATGGGGAGAACAATGGGGACGCACCCATCGCACACCAAAATATAAAGTACATATTGTCTTCAAGTAAAAATATGGCCCTTGAAAATGAAGTGCGTGGTAATTAAAATAAATACTAGTCTTGCCCTTATTTGTACAGCGGTTCTCTGTTGGCCAATATGCATTCGTGTTTTGTATTTCAAACTTTTTTTTTATAAGAAACAGAAGCTTTTAATATTATCACGTTTTACCTTTGTTTCTAGTCAGGCAACATGTACCATGCTTTTACATCAATTTGTTTTTAGCTTGACAATTAAAATTAATTACGAAATGTGGCTTACACATTGATCTTTTTTGTAGCAAAAATCACATAAAGCTTACGTAAACCTAATCAAAATGCAGAAACTTTCAGTATGTTTGGTTGATGATTTTCGCATGCATTTCAATATTCCGAGAAAATAACTAATATTTGAGATGCTAAATTGCTAATTGACCTTTTTATTTTCTGTTCTAATTATAAGAGTGGAATACTTGTCCTTTAGATATAATAGTTGACTATAATTTTTGTAAAGTTTATTACTCAAGGCCTAAGTGAAACATTTATAGAGCTCAGTCTAATGAGCTGTGCGCAATAAAGTGAGCTGTTTGTACATGCCTTAGGTTCTCTATAAAGTTTCCCTGAGCCTTAAACCTTGAACCAAATGCCTCTCACAAACATAAAGAACTTAAGGCTTCCAACAAATGGGCACTAAACAGTAAAATAAAAAGCAAAAATGATATCACAGCCAAATACAATTTACACTGAACACATACAGGACCAATTACTAAATAACTTACTGCTTCTGCAGAATCGTTTAACTCAGGATTATTTGATAGACCTAGCCACCCCTCAAACATTGTCTTCGGTGTTTCATTTACAGACTCGTGAAATCTAGTCAATGCTGTCTGATCTGGTGTCAGCAGTATTTGAGTTCCCGTGCTTGTTTCCAATGGAGGAACTGAAGCTGACATTAAGTTTGGAGACGGAACAGGAATAAAGTCACTTTGAGTGGCAGGAGATTGTGCACCCTCATACTCTGGTAAGTTGTTTCCACCATCATGTTCTTCAACATGCTGAAAACGTTCAATTTGCAGCGGAGATTGTGCACCCTCATACTCTGGTAAGTTATTTCCACCATCATGTTCTTCAACATGATGACAACGTTCAATTTTTGGGGGAGATGGTGCGCCATAAAACTCTGTGGAAGCTTCAGTGACAGGAAAATATGGTGGAACACCGCGCTCCGGGGAGAATTCAGTTGTAGGAGGAAGAGATGTTGTAGGAGGAGGTGTTGTAGATCCAGAGACTGGAAGAACTCCCTCAAACAAATGGGACTGTTTGGATATGTAGCCTCTGTCGAAAATGTTATGCAGAGCCAAACACAATCCTACAGGCAGACACCAAGATCCTCATAAATGAACTCATTTAAATGGAAGACAAGCAGTGGGAGAAAATACACAAGGGAAAATATCCCCTCACCTGTTAATGAAGGCCGGAAGAACACTTGTTCCTTTCTTAAACTGTTGTTCAACTTCCAAACACCCAAAGTAGAGCACGGAATATTCCTCCTTTTACGATTTAAATCACTAACATCTTGAAGTGTCTTATTCATAAACCTACAAAATTCACAACCTTACCTCAGTAATCAATACCAGAAAAAACAATGACTCTACATTAATAATATGTGCCACCATACTCATTGGATAACACAAGGGTCTCATCAAAATACTGCTTTCTCTTCCTTGCTCTTGCTCTTGGCTGCTCAAGATGTGGTGTTGATTGCATTTCTGCAACAGGAGAGAGAAACATTCAAGGGAAAAACAAAGTTGGGTCTTATTAATGCATACATATTAACATACATGTTAAGAACATTATAGACAATGAAACTACTCACGAAAGGAAACATCGTTGTCATTCATGTCAGGCAAAGAAGCAACAGAAGCTCGTGGTCCTGAACTTGGCAGAGGCGATGGAGATGGTCCACCAGAAGGTGTATTTTCCTCTGTAATTGGAGAAAGTATGTCTTTCTCATTCATTTCTGGGTTAATGGATTTTTCTTGTTCAGTAATATCATTCCCGTTATTAAGAGAAACTGTAGGAACAATTTCCGGAGGAACAGCATCTCGCATAACTTCCATTGGTTGAACATGTCGAGGGGAACTGTCATCTAGAAGAGGAGCATCATCTTGCATAACTTCTGTTGGTTGAACATACTGAGGGGAACTGTCTTTGGGAAGAACATCTTGCATAACTCCCGTTTCTCTATAGTTACTTGGAACAGAATCTTGGAAGACAAAATCATTTGGAACATCTACTTCTGGAGCTTCTTTATTTGGAGGGGTGAAGTGATCACTTGGAACACCGTCGCCTGGAGTTGTAGAGTGGATGCTGTAACCATGGAAACATAACCAATAAATTTACGGCTTTGTCAAACAATTATTTGAACTATACATAAAAATTAAAATGCACTACGAATCATACTCCTCATCCATGGGAGCAACATCTGAACCAAAAACCTCGTTCTGGATATCCTAAAATATAACACACATGTTTCATTCAGTAACAAAACAATTCCAGTACCTTACCATTCAAACATAAATGCAAAGAAGAGCAAAAAAAATAAACTCTATAATTGGAAAAGAAAAGATGTCCAACCTCGTCAAAAGTTATAATGACATAACGGTCTGTTGCAATAGGAATTTGATCTGTGACACAAATTTCAAATATTTTAAGGCTTTCATCGAATGAACATAATAAAGACAAATGATGAAGATGAGAATTCCAAACAGCAATTCACTTCTACAACCTGGTAGTGTGATGTCCTCCTGACTCGCATGATGATTATCATAAGCCCTGAGGAAACAAGGTCATTTGGATCATACGTTTATTTAGAGGCAGAACATAAAGATCAATGAAAAGGGGTTAAATAGAATATTACCCCTCACCGAACACGCCTCCATCCAAATCCAAAGCATCAAGATCAAATGTTTCAGGCAAAGTGATGGACTGAACCGGAGCTTGCCTTGCGTTCTCTGGCAAATCCAAGTCTATGGAAGCAAAGGTCTTTCTTAGGGTAGTCAAAACAACATTACAGTCCTGGTAAAGATAGTCGACCTGCTTCGAGTATATCCTAACAACACCAAATAGAAGATGTCCCGACATTCTCAGTGCAATAGGAACGTCCGGAAACATGATACGATCTGATAAACACATACAAACATCGTAAAGCCAATTGCTTTTTTCACATTCAAGTTTTTATGAGAAATTGCACATAAATATATCCTCAAATTCAAACATATGACCAAATAAAATTGTGCAACTCAGCCCACAATAAACACAAAGCATTAACCCTAAACAAATTTTATCAAAATTAAAGAAAAAGAACAAAATTTTGTCGAAGGAAGGCAATGATTTCACAACAAAGTTTCGAAATTTAACATAAATTTGATGGGAAAGCAGCATTGGATTTATAGTTTGAGACACCCAGAATAAGAAAAACCCCAAATTTAACACAGTCAAACGAAATGGAAGGGGATTGTACGAACCAACAGTGGAGGGGATGTCGGTGGAGGTGTAGTGGGACTTCTTCAGCCGGCTCTGGAGGTGGGCGGCGCACCAGACGGTTCCCAATGGGCCCTTCCGAGCCAAGAACGTCTGCGAATAAAACATCGTTCCGCCTTCGTCCTCTGAGTTGTTCTTCTACACTACTTCAATGCCAAAACTGATAATATATATACGTATAAATACAGTGATTTGATTGTATTTGTGGGTGTGTATATATGTCAATTCTTAGAGAGAGGGAGAGAGAGTGGAGCAGGAAGACGGGGGGTTTTAGGGTCATTGGGAGATTGAAGGCGAAGATGGGGCGCGGGAAACGAAAAGTGGCGCCTATTTAGGGAGGTAATAGCCCTTGAGGTTTACAAAAATTACTACTCTTGCCATTCACTTGATGCTGTTCATTTTGATACCGTTTGGTACGTGGGACGGGACGGAACGGAGTGGGACGAGTCGTTCCGTCCCACGTTTGGTGCGCCTAAAACGAGTAAAATGTGCTGTTCTACGAGATGAATTTTGGGTGAATTTTCGTTCTGCTTCATCCTTTGGAACATCTTGTTCCACATCCGTGGAACACAAAATTATAGCCTTTTTGTCTCCTTCTTCCTCCTTGTTTCCATCCAAGGGCATATTTGCTCCCTCTCTGTCCCATCCCATCCTGTCTCATTACTTTCCGTCTCGTCCCGTCTTCATACCAAACGATACATTTGGGGTAGTCGTGACCACTCCTTTTCACCTTCTGTGCATCCTTCTCAATTTAGACTCTTTTGTTCAATTCAAATATTTAAAAATAGCATAAACGGATAAACCATTTCCTTTTTATTTAAATTCTAATAAGAAATCAAAACCAAATCGAAAAAAAAAAAAACATAAAGCTATCAACACCTCAACTATGCTATAAGTCTAAAATTTATTTTGATATCCTCCAAGATCATTCCATGCCTCTGAGTATAGTTCGGCTCGTTGTTTCGTTAGAAACGTATTAATCACCCGATTGTAAAAATGTCAAAAAAAACTCTAGATCAGTCTTTTCATATTTTACACAGTATAGTTGATGCATAAATGGATGTGCTAACAGCCATTCCACATTAAATGTCACAAATTCTTGATACATTCAATTTTACAAAGCATTCCATGTGCTACTAAGCAACATGGGTCAAAAGAAAAGCCATTCGTTTGATTTTAAACTAGTTAAACCCAACCAAATCCAAAACGACACTTGAACAAGATTACTTTAACTCAACGGATGCTCAAATGTAGTTCAAGTTCAAGGCAGTTTCAACCAAGCTACGCCGGAATAAAATTGGACGCACTAATTATGCCATATCATACATTTTGATAATCCGGTCAGCTTATACCAAGAATGAGTAGAAACCTCAAGGTCATGACAATGTCATTAACATCAAAACCAAACGAAACTACAAAAATGACTTCGATTTTTTGTTTCCCACATAAGTGGCCTATCCTAATTTCTGATACAATAGATACAAGTGCAAACCCTCATCTGCCAGCTCTACTATGCCTTGTTTACACGAATTCTTTGCCCTTCGAACAACTGCAATGAACAATAAGTAATACAAATAAATGATCTAATGCGATGAAAAAGGGATAGCAACTGATCCGATTTGCTAAGAAAATCAAACAGTTTCAATTATTTGCAATAAAGGAAGAATCGTTTCCAAGAAATTCATGAGGAAAGCATAACCATCAAGATAAAAGAACAAACTCAAACATTTATCGACAATGTACTTTATTATTATTAGTAGTACTAACACATGACAATCAGCAGGATTAGAAACACAAAGAAGCATACAGCTTGGAGGATGAGATGGGGTGTTCTGATTGGTGATAGATATAATACAAGATTTGCAGAAAATTATGCTGACAAAAAAAGGCAACTAGGGACAAAATACCACGCAGATTAAAGAAAAAATTGGCTTCTAGCTCATGGTTGGAGATTAAAAAGTTCACTGAACAATGGAATTAAGTCAGATTGAGGGAGGTGATTCTAGATGCATAAGTATTAGGTATATGTAGTAGCCATGATTTGCAATAACATTTTCGATTGCCTGTCATATGTTATATTATCAAAAAGTGTACGGAAACTGCCCTTAGAACGTATAAGAATATGAATCATCGGCTAAAGTGTATCACAGATTCAACAGAACATCCATAAATATGTGCAAGTGAATATATGTATGCATGTTATAATTAGATTCCACTCTAAAACATGGTACAACAGCTAGAAACTTACAGTATTGTTGAAAGATGAGATTGCAGCTTCTACATCCTCCTCCGAGGAGAAAGAAACAAACCCAAATCCACTAGATTTTGAGGTCCCTGGAACCCGGGAAACCTTTGCACTAAGAACTTTTCCCTTGTCAGAGAAAAGGGTTTTGAGTGTATCCGTAGTTACTTCCTTTGCAAGATTTCCAACATAAACTTTGTGGGGGCTGTCAATGAATTGAGACTCTTCTGCCTGAACTAGTGATGAGTCCGCTTGTAGCAGGGGTTTTTCAGTTATGTTTACTTTGACTTCACGTCCTCCAATCTCCTGTATAACAAGAAGATGGAGTTAATTGATTTCCAACATTTAATAAAATCTTCCAGAAACTGAAAAAAGTGCCAATAGAGTGCAGCAGAGGAAGAAAACATTTCAGTAGATGACTTTTTTTAACAGTGTTTTTATCAATATAAACTTATGAACCTTGGTAACACTTACAGTTCCATTCAGTTTCTCAACCACAGCATTTGCATCTTCAACGGTCGTCATTGTAGCAAATGCAAACCGGCGACTTCTTCCAGAGTACTTATCATACATCACCTACGCCCAAAAGGAAGGAATGATAGTCATCTCTTTTCTTTCTTTAGTAAAGTGAACCCAAACAAAAAAGCATTTTGTATATTGAAGGAAATAAATCCCCACACATATCTCCATGCTCTTGCTAAGCCATACATATCTCCCAACTTGGATTTTGCAAAAGTAACCTTTTTCACATTAAAACCTTGCATTTATAAGCAGTAAACATGCTTCATCCAATATTTCTGCTAAAGGATTGTTCTGTTACTTGCAAATCCTCACTTACCTCAATTATAATATTAAACCATACTGGAGCATGAAAAATACTAAATTGGTTGACTATTGCTGACAAAGATGATAATAATCATAATACCACATCAGGAAAACACCTCGAGCAACATTAACAAGGTGTTTGGCATGCTGCTTAACAAAATAAACAAGATACCCAATATAGAAAAGGCTTATAAGATATTGTTACAAAGGATTTCTTTGTTGTCCTGCATTGATCTGAATACATGTAAAATATTTGTTATTAGGAGGAATGGTCATGAACAGATGATTCAAACAGACATTTGAGGTGAAATTAACAAAGTGTAATTTGTTTGAGGTCGAAATGTTCAATATTAGGATTGGATCATTCAACATTTTGTGCTTTTAAGGAGAGGTCGAGGAGAGAAATTTTAGCTAGTGGTATTGACCTAAATTGGTTTTATAATATTCACCTAAATTGAAGAAAACTTGGTTTTACAACATTCACTTAAATTTCTCTTGGTGACAACAAGCCTTGGAGGAATAGAAAGGTTGCTCCTTTGTGACCGAAAAGTCACAGGTTCAAGTCGTGGAAAGAACCTCTTTGCAAAGTAAGGGTAAAGTTGCATACGGTAGACGTTCCCCCGAACCTCGAAAAGCGGGGGAGCCTTGTTGGCTAAAGGTCACCTAAATTTCTCTTGGTTTTATATTATTCACCTAAGTTGAAGAAAAGAATTGTTTGATTGTTTCTATCTGAAAATTCTAGCACATGAAATGATCATTGACCTATGCTGAAATATGAAATGAGGCAAAACCAAATTTCATAAAATATAACTGAAGATTTGTGAGAAGCAAAATCAGATTCATAAACTGAAATTCCCTTTACACCAATTAAATTATCCTAACCAACTACTAATCACTCTTGAGCTCTCAAATCTTCAACAGCCCAACAATTAAAGCAGCACAATGTATGAAAAACAAGAGGGAGGCAAAAGAAATATGTAAATTTTCGAAATACCTCAGCCTTCTCGACAGCTCCATGTTCCTCAACAATTTTGGTAAGCTCAGCATTATCCACAGTCCTGGGAATGTTACCAATGTAGACTCTCCTGGCCGCCTTCGAAGCTGGGTCTGCTGCGACTTCCTCGGCGACAGCGAAGAGCCTCTGTGAGTGTCTGGGGGTCAGCGTCAGATAGGAGGAAGTGAGTTTGTGATAGCCCTGAAATTGGGTCGGTTTGAGGATTTGGAGGGGCAGTTTTGGTGAGGTTTTGATGGGTTTTGTGGATTGGTGAAGGAGATTGGGTGGTGAGAATATGGATGAGATTGTAGCCATTTTTGGTTCAGGAATGTGGGTTAATGGGGTTTTAGGGAGGAGAGTGAGAGTGAAGGGGTGGGAAAGGAGCTCGGGAGGAAGGCTTCAATTTCGTTCATTATCTCATTATCTAGCTCAGATTTTGGTCTTGGTGTCTCTCTCACCCGCGGGTGAGATAAGATATTATTGGACCTCTTTCTCATTTTTCATTTTGAACAATCTTTTCTTTTGTCTTATGACACACACCAATGAATTTGAGAGTAAAACATAACTTTAGGTTAAAAAATGAGCCCAAAAAAAAAATAAGTGTAATGAATTGTGAATTTCACGATACTCTCAAATGAGAATTGATAAACAAAAATGGTAACAGCTCGGCTAGCGAAAGTATTAAAATGACAAAAAATTAAACTTTAAATATAAAAGTGAGATAAAAAAAATAATAAAATGGAATTTTGTTGAAACTCGATGATAATAAAGTGAAAATTACCCTAATAAAATTAGGAAAGTAGATTGACCAAAATGGTAATTTTACAAACATTGCAGTTTAGAGTAAATTGTATCAATTAGGGGTGGGCAAACGGGTCCTGGACCTGCGGGTCGGGGCGGGTCCAAGAATTACAAATACAAAACGGGGCGGGACGGGGCGGGCCGGTTCCAGATAAATAACGGGGCGGGCCGGTTCTAAAGATTGGAGAAAACGGGCCCCCGGCCCGGACCGTTGGTCTACTGTGATTACCGTCTCTTTTATTATTAGAATTCGACCCTCTCACTCACCCCTAATCAGACCTAATTCGACCCTCTCAGTCTCACTCTCTATTGTCTCCTCCTCCCTCTATCTCTCCGCTCCCCCGATCTCTCTCGATCTCATCCCTCTCGATCTCCTCTCTCTCGATCTCTTCCCTCTCGATCTCCTTCTTCTCGATCTCTCTCTCTCACAGTCTTTCTTTCTCTCTCTGTCTCCCATCTCACCTACCCTAAACCTTCACAAGTCGCCGTAAACCAGGCATATACCCAGCTCACCCGCCGTAAACCATCTGCGCCAACCACAAGCCGCCGTCCACAAAGCATCACCAGCTGCGACTTTGTTTGTTCTTCATTTGTAGGGAGGCGTTGAAGGTAAGATCAATTTTAATTGGATATTCGAGTTCAAAGCAAACAATTGCATCTTATTAAGGGGTTCTCCCCTGATTTTTTATGCCTAAATTTTGTCATGAAGTGCCTATAAAATGCTTCATATATGTTCTCTCAATTCTATATGTGAAAGTAAAGTGAACTATCTCAAAAACTTATTCGGTGCTGATGCCGCTATACATACATTCATTTTCTAATCAGTTTATATTTTTCAGTGTGAAGTGTTTGCTGTATTTGAACAATATTTGTTTTGTACAGGGCCTTGCTTATCTGCACTCGATTTTCAAGGTCCACAGAGATATTTGTTTTGTAAAGAACCCCATTTCTCTGTTGAACCAACGATCTCAAGTCTCAAACAGGTAAACGTTTTTTTTAAAATTTAAATTTAGATTTTGTTTGTTCTTCTCGCGTTGCTTTTAAAATTTAAATGTAGATTTTGTATTGTTAGTGTCGTATTATAGATGGACCAATCTTCTCAATTTGCCATGTTCTTAGTTTCAACATCACTATGTGTGTGTTCTGTGTGTGTTATGTGTTATGTGTTGTGTTGTGTGTGTGTTCTGTGTGTGTATGTGTGTATGTTATGTGTATGTATGTGTGTTCTGTGTGTGTATGTGTGTATGTTCTGTGTGTGTGTGTTCTGTGTTCTGTGTTGTGTTATGTGTGTGTTCTGTGTGTGTATGTGTGTATGTTATGTGTATGTATGTGTGTTCTGTGTGTGTATGTGTGTATGTTCTGTGTGTGTATGTGTGTATGTGCGCGTGTGTGTGTATGTTGTGTGTGTGTGTGTGTGTGTGTGTGTGTGTGTGTGTGTTCTGTGTATGTATGTGTGTATGTGTGTATGTTATGTGTGTGTGTATGTGTGTATGTGCGTGTGTGTGTGTATGTTCTGTGTGTGTGTGTGTGTGTGTGTGTGTGTATGTGTGTATATTTTGTGTATGTATGTGTGTGTATGTGTGTATGTGCGCGTGTGTGTGTATGTTCTGTGTGTGTGTGTGTGTGTTTTGTTTTACTTATATGTGCAGTTTTTATATATGTGCAGTTTTGATTTATACATGTGCAGTTTTGATTTATATATGTGCAGTTTTGATATATGTGCAGTTTGGTTTTATATAGATCGAGCATACATTCTTTGAGGAGCAAGATTGAGCTAACTATTATGGGATTAGTTGGTTGATTTCTCAATTCCTTAAACGAGAAGGTAATTTCAAATTCACGTCCTCAAGTTCCTTGTTATACTTATATGTGCAGTTTTGATTTATACATGTGCAACTTTGATTTATTTTATACATGTGCAGTTTTTATTTATATATGTGCAGTTTTGATTTATATATGTGCAGTTTTGATATATGTGCAGTTTGGTTTTATATATTTACAAATTTCTTTCTACATTATGTCTCACTCTCAAAGTCAAAGTACCCCTAGTGTTAATGTAGCATCATCTACGGCTAGTACATCACCATGTCCTCCACAACCACCAATAGAAGCACAACCCATAGAGTCAATGCCTCCCCCAAAACCCTCATCCTCCAGAAAAAGAAAAACACCACCTATTTCAAAGACAAAACAACCTACCATATTAGCTTTACTAGAGAGATCTTCTTCTGAGAGATCTTGGGTTTGGGATCATGTCACTAAGTGTACTGTCTCGGAAATACAAGAAGTAGAAAAGGATGGAAAGAAAGAGATGGCAGAGGTGCAAGTATTGAAGGCTAAGTGTAACCATTGTAACGCCTTTTTTGCATGTGATACTAGTGAGGGTGGAACTAGTACTTACATTAAACATATCAATAAACATTGCAAGTCATATAAACCAACTGATGAGATGCAAAAGGTTCTAGGCAGTTCTAGACCTTCTGGGGACGCTAAAAACATGCTTGTTGCTAAAGGGTGGAGCCAAGAAGAGGCAGTGGAAGGTATTATTGAGTATATTGTGATCGAGGAGGTAGCTTTTAGTTGTGTGGAGAATGAGGGGTTTAGGCGGATGATGTGCAAAGTTCAGCCTAAATTGCATGTTCCATCTCGGAGAACTATTGTGAGGAATTTCTTCACTATGTATGATACCATGAAAGAGCAGTTAAAAAATGAGATACACAAGCATAGAGTGAGCTTGACTACTGATACATGGACAAGTGTGCAAAACTTGAACTACTTGGTGCTAACTGCTCATTTTGTGGATGATGAATGGAATATGCACAAAAGGATTATAAACTTTTGTTTGATTTCAAGTCATGAAGGCAAAGAAATAGGGAAGCTGATTGAGCAATGTTTGGTTGAGTGGGGGATTGAAAAGGTGATGTGTATATCAGTTGACAATGCACAAAAGGATTCTAAACTTTTGTTTGATTTCAAGTCATGTCTCCTTCCTCAAACAGTGGAGTCATTGATGTGCCTCCAAAACTGGTTAAGAAGTGAACCAATTGGCAACATTGAGTATGAAGTAAGTCCTGCAGAGCTTGAATTTTATCAAGAGTGTGAAGAAGGTAATTATTTTGTTTTGTATAGTTTGGTTTATAAGTTTATATTAATTGGTTTACAATTAACTTTTGTTCTTTGTTGTAGAATATAAAAGAAGAAAAGCAAATATTAAATCTACAAGTTCAACCATTTCATCAAGTGTTCCTGAAATTGAAGCTCCTCAAACAACTCGAACGAACAAAGGAAAAGGAATTGCGGTAATATTTTAAACTCAAATGAATAAACTTTAAATTTCAATGAGGATAATATGATGTTTATATTCTATTTTTGCTTACAGATTCAATGAGGAATTGAGGATTGTTGTTGGAACTTGGGCATTGGATGTGGTTTTAATTTGAAATTTATTGCGGATGTCATGTTTATGTTGTTTTGGATTATTTGATTTTTGGAATTTGGATGTCTTGGACTTTTGGATATTGTGTATGTGGATTTCATTTTTAGATGTTGGAGGACGATGTAATATTGTTATTTTGGATGTATTGTTAAAACTTAATTTATGAACTTGGATATTAGACTTTGTATTTAGATTAGATGTGAATAATGGTGAATTTGTGCAAAATCTGCATAAATGCAGTGTCACTGTGATTGTGCAGTTGCAAATTGCAATCTGTGCAGTTTAAAAAAAAAAGAAAAAAAAAGGGTACCCGTGGACCCGGCCTGAACCGGCCCGTTTTAACCGGGCCGGGTAATGTCCGGTTCCTATACAAGAAAATCCAATCCCCACCCCGCCCCGACCCGTTTCGTTTAAGCTCTGGTTCCTACAAACTTAGGTTCGGCCCGGCTCGGCCCGGCCCGTGCCCAGCCCTAGTATCAATGGTCCTTCAACTCAAATTGGAGCAATGATCCATCGACTAAAAATTCATTACCATTGATCCATCAACTCATCAAAATATGTAGCTATGGTTCTTTTTGTCAACTTCGTTAGAATTTTGTCAAAATAAGTTATGTTGGAATGATCATTGCTACAATTGAGGTCTTTCAACTCATTAAACGTGTAGCAATGTACTTTTTTATCAACTTCGTCATAATTTTATCAAAATGAGTTATGTTGAAATGACCATTGCTACAATTGAGTTAAAGTTTGAGGAACCATTGCTCCAATTGAGTTAAAATTAAGGGATCATTTCTCTAGTTGGATTAAATTTGAGGGACCAATGATAATTAATTTTTAGTTGAGGGACGAATAATAATAGATTTTTAGTTAAGAAACATTTGTTCTAATTAAATTAAAATTAAAGGACTATTATTGTAATATACTATTGCAGTTTTGAAGTAGATGGTAGCGAGTACTCATTTTAGAGGCTAGGTCAAGGGTTTTAAGGGTTCGGCCCATATATATACCCCTACTTTCTTCCCCAGTGTGTTTTGTGGCCGCGCCTTTCGTAGACGGCGAGCAACTGATACAAGAGAGAGAGAGCGTATCTTCACCACCGAGTGTTAGCGATGGCGCCTAAGCAGAGGACTCCAAAGGTCACCAGAAACCCGGATCTCATCCGAGGGATTGGGAAATACTCGAGGTCCAAGATGTACCACAAACGAGGCCTTTGGGCTATCAAGGCCAAGAACGGCGGCGTTTTTCCCTGCCACGACAAGAAGCCCGCCGCCGACACCCCGGCTGTCAAACCCCCCAAGTTTTACGCCGCCGACGATGTCAAGAAGCCTCTTGTGAACAAGCGCAAGCCCAAGCCCACAAAGCTCAGGTCCCTATCTATCCCTGTTTCTCAATCTCTATATCTATAGATACTGTGTGTGTATTTCTTATTGGCTGTTGATTGATGAGAAAATGTGATGAATTGTTGTCTTAATCCGTGTGGATTCTGAGAAAATGCGTGCTCCTGTGTGATTATTCTGTGAATTCTGTGACTTTTTAACCGTTATACTTGTAGGTTTTTGAATGACTACCCTTTCCTTATTATCTTGTGGAGTTTTATTTTTGTGCCCCCAAAATACCGTAAAATTCTCGAAATTGAGAAATAGGAGGGATTTTGTATGCACAGTTGGGGCATTTGGGTGGCTACACATGGGTATTATTGTTCTGCATTTAGATTGGCACCTGAACTGTGGAAAGTGTTGAGGTGTGATGTATGAATGTGCGAATGTGCGTGCATTCGTTTTATCGTCTTTTTAGTCAGTACCGATTCATGATTTTCAACACCCATTTCAATCACGAGGATATAAATTTTGGAATCGGTTTGTATAGGTCTCAGATAAGTTTTCTGTTGGAGTAACCTTTCTGTGCTTCTGCTCTCGATCTTTAATAATATTTAGGTTTATTCTTTCTTTCTATTGTGTAGGGCCAGCATTACACCTGGTACTGTGTTGATTCTTCTTGCCGGGAGGTTCAAGGGGAAGAGGGTTGTGTTTCTGAAGCAGCTTTCTTCTGGCTTGCTTTTGGTCACTGGTAAGTTCTCTTGTCCTTCGTAAATGTCGTCTGTTTCAGTTCTTTATTATCAATTTGGTTTGGTTGATTTATTAGTTCTTAATCCTTTGTCAATTGCGCCGCTGGTCGATATCATTTTTTTAGATGGTAACTTGGTTTAATCCATATTAGTACTAAAAACAAATATATTATTACAAATGAAAAATGCTCACGAACATTTAGTTGTTGCAATTTGATGAAGCAGTGGCCATTTAGCATATGGAAATAGGTCATTGTTTACATTGTGTGGTTAAAGTGATTAATTTTTGTTAGTGTGTTTGAACGGAAGTTCAAGAGACCACTTGGCTTTGCATGTTGGTGATTGAGACTGGTAGTTTCTATTCCCTCTGTGCCTTATATCACTGTATTGGAGTGTTTCTTACTGTTCTTTCTTGTCATTTCAGGACCATTCAAGATTAACGGAGTTCCTCTAAGACGTGTGAACCAATCTTACGTTATTGGAACTTCAACTAAGATTGACATCTGCGGGGTTAATGTTGATAAGTTTGATGACAAGTATTTTGCAAAGGAAGTCCGGGCGAAAAAGAAGAAGGGAGAAGGCGAATTCTTTGAAGCAGAGAAGGAGGTTGGTTTTCTATCCTTTATTGTATTGAGTGTATACTGTGGATGGTCATTCATTTGGCTGCCTTTTTTTGTTGTTGTCTTCTAACCTTTGATTTCTGTCTTCAAATTGTAGGATAAAAATGTACTGCCCCAGGAGAAAAAAGAAGACCAGAAGGCTGTTGATACACCCTTAATTAACTCCATAGAGAAAATTGCAGATTTGAAGACTTATTTGGCCGCGAGGTTTTCTCTCAAGCAAGGCATGAAGCCTCATGAGCTTGTTTTCTAGAGACGAAGCCGAAAAGTATTAGATTTTGCTTTCCTATCCTACAAACTTTCCATTTTTGTTTGAACTCGATCTTAGTAGCTGTACTCTTTTAAGTTTTATTTGTAATCGACATCTGATGAGATGTTTCATGCGTTGTGCGAAGTTTCTTTTTCCTTTAAATTGAATGAGGCTTGAACCTACGATCTCTACTCTCACATCCATGTCATGCGACATGAGCCAACGGTGGGCTCATGGTGCATTGTGAAAGTTTATGCAATGTTTTCTTTCAGTTACGTGAAAAGGGAAGCGGTTTTCACACACCATTTCACTCCTTGAGCGGCAAGGGCTAAATAAATACGAGTATGCAAGGAGAAAAGCAGTATTCGAACATCAATCTGTAAAAGCACTTTTGTATATTTGTTTAGTTATATAGTGGACAGTGTAGTAGGCCAGTAGCCAACACAGAAAACAGCAGCACCAGCATAAAACTGGGCATTTATTCAAGCTCAAGGTTTAATGAAAGTACGCTGGTTACAGTTTACATTAGGGCTTGTCACAAAGTAGTTTCATAGTAAGCTGTCGGTCCGAGCGGGAAGTCTCTTGAAGAAATTGCAGGGTGCAGAAGGCAGCTTGCTCCGGAATCTGGGGTGCCTCAAGTAATACAACCCTGCAACCAAAGAAACCACCCTGAACGGAGTCACGTAAAGCACCACAGCTGCACAAAGACAGAACAGTATGAAAATGCTGGTTGCTCTTGGGTCTCTCCAGCTGAGTAGCGACTGAAATCTCTCCCCTTGAGTTGCTATGTCACCGACAACTGTCTGTATCCTTCCCGCTACGCTTCTGATCCGGTCGTACCTCATTCGAACTATATCGTGGGGTCTAGAGCTCGGAAATGTGTCAAACTCTTCATCGAGCTCGTCTGGGTGAACTGTCTCTGCCCATGAAAGCTTGGTATCCATATGAGGAGGATGTCTAGGCCTGAACCTGTAGTTCCACATTCCGATGAGGAACATGTAGACAAAAAGAGTTGGAAGTATCAACTCTGGATACCAGATCAGTATCAGAAAGAGAATGTGAACAAGAACAGTGGTCACGGAGTTCTTCCAGTTGCATACATCAGCAAACCACCGGTTCATGGAAAATATACCAGAAAGCAATGACATAATTCGAAAGAAGTTGGCCTTGCTTCTCCTCATGCTCCACATGTGGGAATCAACATCTAGCATGTACTCCACCACTTCTTTTCTCAGAGGCGGTTCAGCTCTGCCAAGTCTTACCGCTACGATGTTCATTGCTTGGTATCGTAGATTATCGACTTGGTTCACTGTGAAAGGATGCAAGTAATGCATTTTTGGCAACAAGGGTTGCCCGTAAACATATATCAAGTTAGCTATAGAGAGGGTGGTAAATCGAACAGCTAGTTGAAGCTCGCCCATTTTCTTTACTCCATTAGGCTGCAGAACTAGGAGAGGATACGAACGCGTATACATCCGATGAGCTTCAAGTGTTGATAATCGAATACGCACCTTCCCAATTCGCGAATCTCTTGCTCCGTTACGTGCAGTTGATGTTTGCTTCTCACCTCCACCAAGGTGGCAGTTGTCAAAAACTCCCAGTGTGATCACTGTGCAGGGATCATACACTTCCCATGTGTATTGCTCATTCCATTTAGGACTCAATGTGTCGAGAATTGTTCTGGTGCGAACCCATTTCTGGCCGTACTTAGCCACACAATAAGGATCTGTGCTCCCTCGGCCGTCCTTCATCTTCATTGGAAGAAGGCCTTGTGCACTAAGAATACCAACTTCCAAAATCCCAACAGGCTGCTTCCATAGCTGCCTCGCCGTTGGCCTCTGATCGCTTATGTACATTGTTGACTCATCTAGCACGTGATATCCGCCTTCAAGACAAACTCTCAGGTGTATCCTGCTTGAAAACTTGAGCTCCTTCCTCCTGTCAGGCTCCAACACACCAAATCCATACTTCTCGAGATTGAACCAGCGCGAAAGAACTGGCCTGTGGTCAAGCCGCTTCTCAAACGCATCAATTGGCATGCTTATCTTCCCCAACACCTCATCTTTCGAAGGGTGGACTCGATCTTCAACTGTAACAACCAGCTGCTCCTCAAAAGGCTCAGCTGCAACAAAGACTAAATCTTCATTCCACAGTGGATTCGCAGTCCGACTTGGGCATATCTTGGTTCTGAGCACTTGGTTTCCAACCTGAGCTTTGACAAAGACTTCTGGGAGGCGGCTTCTGTCGTTAGGCAGCACATCCTGAGCTGCAATCACATTCACCCTCAGGTACCAAAGTTTTGGTGATACATATACCTTGGATCGAATATTAAACACACCCTCACCATAGACGCCTGCAGCATCCGAATGCCATGCATCTGGAAATGCTTCGTCAGCCTGTGTTCCCATCCAGACTGCAAGCATGATCTCACCTCTAACCATTCCTTCCCCGCGGCGGTGCTCCAGCCTGTACCACTGAGGAGCAAGCGGGCTGTCAGGCGGAACTCTGGTCGGAACCTCATTCAAGTCAAAAACCACCCTTCCAAGATAATCATCTCTTCCAATCATCTCTTTATCTTTGATAAAAACTTCCACCACCGATGACTGGATTCGGTCTTTTGAGAAAGCAAACACCTGGTTCCACTCTGGGTTCATTTTCCTCTCGAAATGCTTTGTTCTTCCCTTGTAGTTCCCCAACTTTACTTCCACGTAAGGATCACAGCTTCCAGTAATGGAGCTGGGAGGGAGGTCTTTGGCTTTAACAACTCGAACATACAGATAAAACATCTGCTCAACAAGGTCATAAGTGCTTGTAAATCTTTCGCCACCACTCATCCATCCTCTTCCTCCGTAGGCTCCACCATTTGGCCACCTTTCGCCAAGTTGCGGGCTGGTGTCCTTCAATTCATCGTCGCCTTGCTGGTTATGAATATGATGAGCTTCTGAGTGAGCTGGCTGCATGGTTGGTGGGAAACCTTGAGGTTGTGTTGCTACCGATATGCCTGGTTGCTGCAGAACTTGATGCTTGTGTATGTGGTGGGATGTTTCAGTTGATCTTACTTCAGCTTGTTTTTGTTTGAACTCTTTTTCTTTCGGAATAGCAGCCAATACTTTCCTATTGGATTTTGTGTTCTCTGTATTTGGAGGAGCAGAGGGACTAGAAGTTGGGTTTTCAGGTGGCTGGGGTTGAGACTTGGAAGGAGAGGCTTCTAGTAGTTGTGGTGGAGAATATGGAGGAGCTTTCGGTTCAGATTCTAGAGAAATATAGACTTTTAGGCCAATCTCGCCCTTGACAGCTGAGAAAAACCACTTGTTTTCAAGAGGGAATCTTTGGTAAGCTTCCTCACTTTTCTGGACAATGTTCGAGCAAGGAATTCTCACTCTTCCAAGGAAGTTTCGGCCAGGAATAGGCGATCTCCTCTCGTTGAACACAGAGACTTCAATGGTTTGGTGATGGAAGTTTCTGGTTTGGTCAATATCAAAGAAAAGTTTCTGGTTCCAGATGGGATTGAGATTTTTCGGAATGGTTTTGGTTCGGCTAAGCTTGTTCACAAAATCGACTTCTACAAATGGACTTGCAGATCCTTCGCCGTCTTTGGGCATAAGACCATGAGCATCTACCACTTCTACTACCAGCTTCATTGTCTTTTTGCTTACTTGGCTGCTGTGAGAATCTAGAGGAAGTGACGCCCCACAAGCAATCTGAAACAAACAAAGCGGTGCTTGTGTTTATTTGGTGAAATAAAGAATGTTTTGACGAAGAAGCTGCCTCTGAGTTTTGTTAAAAATTCGAAAGAAGGTCGAAAAACGGAGGGAAGCTTCAAACTTTTATAAAGTGGGAAAGTGAACCTCTGTCATTCCAATATTTTCTCAAACTTATGATCTATTTGATTAATTTGATCCCAAATAATCTGTTTCATTTTTTGATACAAGCGATGTTCTACTTTAAACTAATCTAAACTGTGTGTGGAGGGGGATTCAAACTCGGGTTCATAGGTAGGAGCATATCCGCTCTAACCAATACGGTTATGTCCACATCCTGCCTTTTATCTGTTGAGGAAAGGAATCCCCCATGAACATGATGAAGTTCATTAAAGCAAACTTTTGTTTTTATATACAAAACAAATAAGATGTTCTGGAGGCCTCTGTAACAAACTCAAATGGCATATAAGGAATCAAATCCCAGAGATGCTTTTCTTTGTATAGCAACAAGTACATTGCTCAGGGGTATAACCGTCATTTCCGGTACAAATTTGTTTACTTGAATCTGCACTGTGTTTGAAGGGACACACCATTCTTCATTATTTTATATTTTTCATATCAGAAGAGATAGTTCTAATCTAAGCTACACTGAGAGAAGGTGATACAGTGCAACAATGAGATTAATACGAAGGCTCTAACCACCGAGACAATCGAGCGCATGCAAGAGACAATGAGACATGCCTTTCTTGGGTAGGCAGCAACCTGGATGTGTTGTGAAATGTAAAGTAAAGAAAAGTGGGAAAAGAGAGGGAGTTAGCTCATGAAAGGCATAGTTTCTGATTGGAAGCTGCAGGGAGAGGGAGGGGGAGGGGGCTTGTGATCAAAGATGCTTTTCTTTCTTTCTTTCTTTCTTTGTGCTTTTCTTACTTTTTAACCTTATTTATTACTCTTTTCTAATACAATGTTGAAATTCTTGGACGCCATGTTCAAGCCAGCTCAATTCCGATCTGATTCTCGTTGAAGTAACGTGTCCGGTGGCGGCATTGCTGCACTTTCAAAATAGTTGCAAAGAAGGATCTCTTGGGATCCCAAGCGTGATGAAACTCAAAATGCACCAGTTGTAAAACAAGTCTAATGTTTTCATTCTGCTCCAGAAACCAAACTTGGGATACTCATTTCTAAACCTATGATTCATTTTTCTTCGAGTCCAGTCGTTATCCTTAGCCTTTTGCCTTCGGAATTTTGCTTCTTCTTTCTTCTTAACTTCCTCAAATTTTCTGTAATATTTTGAGATAATATTCAGTAAGCTCACCCGAAATCGCTAAATCAGCTGCCCCAAACCCTCCGTGACACAAGGCTGCTGCTTTTGTGATGCCATTGGTGTTATTGCAATGCTGTGACTTCTCTCAGTGGGAGAAGTGAAAACTATCTTGGCTTGGCTCGCAAATCTTCTCTTTTCAACACTCCTATGTATATGAGAACTCTATGCTATATTATTCTTATGGGCTATTAGTACGGAACTTAAATTGATGAGGAATTAGAGCCAGATACTTATGAAAGTTGTTTACTAAATTGTCTTGAATCAGAGTCATTTTTTAATCTTTCTTGTCAAAATTATAAAATGTTCTGGTGTATAGCACGCGCCGAACAGTGGAGAATCCGTTTTATTTTATTTGGTCAAAAAATCCGAAATTTTATAGGCTCTAAAATTTAATTAATAATCAATTATTTGGCAGGCAATCAAGCAGAAAAAGTGTCTCCCACAATATTGGGCCAGGCCCCATCCTTCTCTCTCTTCCATCAGCACTTGAGAGCAGCAGCTACTAGAACCTTCCTCCCATCCCTGTTTCCAAATTTCAGGGTTTATCGAGGGTTTATCATCCCTCCAGCCAAAAACCCAAGAAAATCCCATCTCCACTCAAAGACTTCATCTTTTTTGGTACTTCCTTTCCCAAATGGTTCGCTCCAATGGCGTCATGCTTGTCCACTGGCTCGCTCGTCCAGTTATTGTGCGGCAATATACATATATTCCGACGTATAATGATAATGGGCTTCTTGTTGCCCCCTTGATGAGATTGAAATATACTTATGAGTTTGAATGTTTTGGAGTTCCAATGGCCCAGCAGAACTAGTTTAACTCGCACCATGTTCGGACATCGCCTATAGAGGATGCTTCTCCAAAAGAAATATTTCCGACCTAGAGAAATTTCAAATAGTAACTTTGAGCTGATCAACGGAGAACAAATAACTTGCCTATAGGCCTAGGAGGAACTCTCCCGAACCTCACATTAAATTATATGCGGACATGAGGAAACTTTCTCTTTTGTCTTTTTTTTACCCAAGATAAGAAGGAATCTTCTTTACATCACAATCAGCTCTTACTTGACAATTAGCCCTTACTTGACAATCAAATTATTCTAGATAAGATTCCTTACTTTCAAATACGTCAAATACTATTATACGATTCCTCATGTCTACTTGTCACGTCTTGTCTTGTCACTTTCCAACACGCTTTCCCATGCTTCAATCTCATCCATCATTGGGGCCAAAATTATTGTGCCGTGGGTTTTGAATTCTTACTGTTGGGAAGGAAAAACAATGGAGACATCTAAAACACCCTAACCAAAATTATTGTGGAGTAGGTGACACCAAGTTGTTGTTTGGTAGGTCAGACATAAGGCGTTGTTCATGTATCCGAAATTGTAAAAGATGAAATTGGTCATGTTGATCTGTTGAGTGAAATCTTTCACCACTACGAAATTACTAATCCAAACCAGCAAGTTTTCTCAGATTTCGAACGTGTTGAATATTGCAGAGATAGCAGACGCCTTCCTTAACCTGTTGGTATTAGAAGACTCCAACTCCAATCAGCCAAAATGGAGTGAAAACAAGGTCATCATTCCGTGAAATGTTCTACGAATGATCCACTTTTAAAGACAAATTTTGTGTTTTATAAGCGTGGCGACAAGCAAGTGCTGTGGTATGAGAAGATAGAAAATACTCGGGTTGGTGAGCATTCACAATCCTGCAACGAAGATGTAGCTTCGTTGAAGTCAAGACTAGTAAATAGTTTAGCATTTTTTTCGTTAGACAAATATTTTTCTCGTTTCATCAACTTTTTTTGCTCATCAAGTGTAAATAGTTATCGATACTGCCTATCATGTTAGTTGTGTAGTTGAAACAAGTCGTATATATGGTCGGTGTTGGTGGTGGTGGTTGTAGTGACGTATAACAGTGGCAACGGTTATGGCTGTTGCTCGTGGTAAGGTGGTGCGGTGGAGGTCGAATGCGGTGGTAAGTGTGGTGGCATCAATGGGCCTGTGGCCACGTCAAAGAACTGGTGGTAGTGCGGCCATGTTAGCTTCTTCACCAAATTTGAGCTTACTTGGGATCAAACATTACACATAATGATAGACTTTAGACGAACTTATGAACTCCAATTTCCATGTTTTTTCTCATACGAATCTAAATTTTTCCGTTTATGAATCCAAAAATGGCAAGTGCCTTCGCCCATGAGCTGTAGGTCTCGGGTTCGAGACTTGGGAGCAGCCTTTCCATAAATGGGGGTAAGGCTAGCCGACATTCACCTCTCCCAGACCCTGCGTAAAACGGGAACCTTGTGCACTGGGTACGACCTTTTATGAATCCAAACAAGATGATACACGTCAAATTAAACATCTTAAACATTCGTAAGCCTCGGAGTACGAAAGCAATTTTAACAAACATATGACGAACAAACAATTTGCAGTCGACCTTTGTCAAATTCAATTAGGAAAATAATCATGGCAGTTTTACATATAATACCTTGAAAGGATACATTTATGTTGCAACTCCGTTCAAATAATACTTTAAACTTGACTAAATATAAAATAACGGAAAGAAAAAATATGTCAACTGAAATTTTCCATACGTCAGTGTTAGGGCAAATTACAGTGAACCTACTTGCTCCAGTAGTTGCTCTCTTTTTTCTTTGCCTGAATAAATCTGCAAGCCCGCGGTTATTATTCCAAAAAATTACAGGGAACATCCACAACTGCCATGCACTAGTTTCTAATCCTCAAAACCCATAGAAAATATTGTTACCTCAAAATACCAAAACCTCACTACGAAAACCGACCTTGGTGTCGATCAACAAAACTCTGATGCACAAAATTTCAAGATGCGGCTTTGGTTTTCGATTTCTGTTTCTTGCCGTCCAGTGTTGCTAAACCTTTGCCCAATCCAACTGGAGGCTGACCTTCCTGCTCCGTTGTTGATTGCTCTTGTTTCACATCAGTTAAGCCATTTGCAGGATGACCATTGGCTTCCTTCACTCCATCAGTTTCTTTATTTTCCACTGCAACCGGTGGGGTTGCACCTGAATTGATGATATCGAGTAACTGAGGAAGTGGAGGCACAGCTTGGACGGGAACACCGTGTGGGCGTATCAAGAGGCCCTTTGCTGCTGCCTTCTTCCTGACTTCAGCTGCTGCACGAGCAGCCCGCTCATCAACTCCCCTACCTCGTGGAAGGGTTTCACCAATTATTGCAGCATTAAGAGATTTGTTGGCGGAAGGGTTAGAGCTCCCAGACCCACCGGCTATGGCAGCAGATTGGAATGCCTGCATCAAGTCAGGATGGGCCTGACATGCAAAGTCGATTATTAATTGGAAATCGAGATTCTCGGTGTAAACTGTACCCCAAACACAAATCAGCATGGTGTGGCAGTTTAAGATCACTATCGTGGAAACATTACACAATTCCCTCCATCTCACAGTTTTCTCTTATTCTTCTTTTCTGATAAAAGATTCTGACAACACATTCGAAATATTTTATGTGCAGAAGCATTAGGAGACAAACTAGGTTTTTGGGCCGTCTTTCACGGGAAATTAAAAATATGAAAATATGTAGAGCAGAAATAGGAGAAATGAAACGATGAGACCATGACTTAGGAAGCATATCTAAAAAACAAACCACCAATTATCCTTCAATTGAAAAGAAGCATCCAAACTACCTTCAAGATGTCAATTGCCTTTTGAG